ACGTGTCACTCTTGGATTGGTCCACTGCCCATCAACCCAGATGACGCCTCAGGAGTAGGCAGGGATGCAGCAGTGGAAAGTTACCAAGCACATGCGCATTATAGTCCCACTGTCTCTGCCTCCCCAATGCTGGGATTAAAGGCATGTGCTACAACACCTTGAACTCACAGATATCTGTCTCTGCCTCCCAGGCATTGGGATTAAAGGTGTGTGCTACCACACCTTGAGGTCACAGAGGTCAATCTACCTCTGCCCCTTGAAGTCACAGAGGTCAATATGGCTCTGCCCCTTCAAGTAATGGAGAATGTGGTTGTGGCCCTCCACAATGCAGCACTTAGAAAATCACTCTCTACTGCCATCTAAAATCACTGGCTCCCTCTGCCTTGCTATAAACTGCCCTATAGCAGCTTTCTAGTGGGAGGCGTAGAGGAAGCTTAAGGGAATCTGCCTAAGCAATGCAGTAGTACAGCTACGTGAATGACCCAACGGATAGAGTCACCTCAAAGGGAATAAGAGGTAGTGTGTTCTAGACCCAAATATGAGTGGCCCTGACCTAAGAACACAGATTCACACTGCCTCCAGGAGCAGGTGCCACCACTGTAATATAGAAAAAAAAAGTCGTCTATCAAGGTCATTTTAAAACACAATCAGGTACAGGAGAGTGAGAAGTCGCTTCCATAGGTGTTGACTATCTTCTGATTACATTCTTAAACTTTTGGTTGGTGGAAGCCAGCAGTCTATTTACACATTCCAGTGGGGACTTCAGCTGATCGCTGGGATGTTAGGCCGGACACAGACGTGAACAATGAATAACTACAGAGGGGACTAAACAGGGCCCAGACCTGCGAGATTCCTACTCAGGACACTGGAAGAGGTTAAAACCCAGGCTCATGGAATGTGACACAGCTAAGACATTTTCCAGAGAAATTCAGTTCACAGAGTCAAGAAGAAAACCGGAACTTGGAGCTTGAGTGTCTGTCACATTTACCTGAGCAAGTCAGGAGACCAGTTTACAAGCAATCAATATCAATCCTCACAAATAATACCTTCCATAATTTACCCATTGTAAATCATACACAAGTGTAACCTGGTCAGAGAGATAGTGCCAAGTGAAAGTTTCACTTTTGCTATCAAATCTTTCATAAATCAGATAAAAATCAAATATAAATGACCCGAGATTGTGATTACTAACACACAATGCACAGTTCTCTATTAAGACAGCATATATGGTCTTGGGAAATATTTAGAGAAATTAATGTGGGATATTGAAGGAACGTTATCAACACATAAGCAGACCTTTCCATCCTGACTACCTGAAAATGAATTAAGTCTCCAATTCATAGTACCATTATGATGTCAAATTCTTTGGAAACAAAACAAAACAAAAAATGGAGGTCATTCCTCCAGTGGAACCCCCTCTCAGAAAGTTATTTTTTTCGTATTTTTCTAAATAAATTTAAATTTTCTCTGCTAATATAAAAGAAGCTAAAATGTATAAATCAAATGTGGATGTATATTCATGGTCAAGTGTACCTCAGTAAAGTTTTCATTTTTTCCTTTTAGCTGGATTCAGTGTGTTCCCCCGTGAACATCAGTGCAGTGTTGTTGAGGGAAGGATGGAATGGTGGTGATGGTCCTACATTCATTCTGCTTCTGTGATTAAACACTCTGACAAAGCAACTTGAATCAGGCAGGGTGTATTTGGCTTACACTTGCTGGTCACAATCCATCACTGAGGGGAATCAGGATAGGAATTCAATCTGAAACTTGAATAAAACCCTGGTTCTCTTTGGTCTCCATTCAGCTTGCTTTCTTCTATAGCCAAGACCTACCTGCTTAGGCATGGTACTGCCAACAGTGGGTGGGCCCTCCAACTCAAGCAAGCAACCAAGATAATCTCTCTTAAACATAGTCCCAGGCCACTCTGACCTGGGCAGTCCTTCAGCTAAGATTCTCCTGAATAGTGCGAGTCTGTGCCAACTTGACAGCTGAAGTGAAGTAAGACACTGACAACTTGTCATTGCTTACTTGAAGCTCTCTGCAGCACAGAGCTCCTCATTTCCTCACTGCGGGCTGTTAACCAGCTGAGCGGCTCTCATGGTGTCTCACATCATCACCACAGACATGTGTGACTTACTTCTTCTACCTGGAAATGTCACCCAGTAGCTTCAGCTGTTTTGTGCCCATGAAAATCATGTGTCAACTTTTGCTGCTTTTGGATGCAATGTCTGTCATGCCGTGATGCAGCCTGTGAGATAGACCTCCTGGGACTTCCCAGCCTCCCAGTCCAGTTATTTGCCCCTTTGCTACTTGATGTCTGCCATGCTGTGATACAGCTCCTGGGACCTCCCAACATCCTGGTTCAGCTACTTAACATTCTGCTTCTTGTGTATTTTCCAAGAGCTCAGTTTATGTTCTTGTGCCTCTGGTAGCCTTTCAATGGCGACTACATCACAACCTGTCAGCTCTAAGGCCTTCCACGTTGTGTCCCACCCCACAGCTGGTTCGCTCTGGGGCCATTCTGAGTCCCAGGCAACTCTGTTTTGCATCATAATGGATATAAAAACCAGGGCAGAAGTGCTTTCCTAACTACTTTACATATCAGTAGGCAGAACACCCAGACAGACCAACTTAAGGAAGGATGGGTTTATTTTGACTCACAGTCTGGGGACCCAGTCCATCATGGCATTAGGAACAGAGACAGCTTGTCATAGCACACCCACAGTCAAGATGCAGAAAATGTCAAGTGCTATGTACAGTTTCCTTCTCCCTTCTTATTCAGTCGGAGGCCCCACCACTGAATGTAAGAACCAAAAATAACCCAGTCTAGAAAGCATCTCTCCAAAATGCCCAAGGACTTGCTCTTCAGGGATTCTTCATTCTGTTCAGCTGACCATCAACATTAGCCATCGCAAGTGCTTTCTTCCTCCTTAGTGCCACAGAGAGGCCCAGAGAGGAAGCCCCAGGCTCCGCCCCCCCTTTACTCCCATCCCACAAAACTAAGTCTTAGAAAACATTAACCAGAAAAATTAAGTAACATAAAGTATAGAAAATAAATTTGAAGAATAAAGTGTTTTGTGCCTATCCCATTACTGTATACCTCAAATTCAAAGAAATTTCCTAGAACGCATACACCAATAACCGCTTAGAGAAAAAAAGAGCATTTCAGATTTAGAAATAGATGAAAGCATCACAATTACATTTAGAAAGTAAAGCAGAACGAAAAGTAATAAACATGATACAGCCTCATCAGAGTAAGAAATATTTAAAATTCTTTGTAACTTATAATGAAATAAACATCTGGGTCCAATATATTACTGATACTTTAGTTAATGACTCATGATAGGAGAAACTGAGAGGAGATGCCGTGGTTGAGAGAACATGTTCTCCTCTCACATTGTACACTGGAAAGAGAGGAGGGAAGGAGATGGGGGAGGTGGGAGAGGGGAAAGAGGAAATAGAGAACAGAGGACACAGGGAAGGGAGGTGACAGAGGTCAAAGAGAAGAGAGATGCAAGGGGGAAGAGAGTCTTGGGTATCATAGCTTTTCAAAGAATGGAGAAAGTCTGGGTGCTGGTTAATGCTAGGGAGGCAGTTGAGGGAGTGGCTACTACCTCTTAACTTGCACAACAGGAGCAATATTCCTATTAGATGTTTGCTCTTCACTATATCCATCATAAATTCATAAAATATATATAATAAAGAAAACTAACATCCTGTATTTATCTCAGGCATCTGCCATTAAAATAAAGTTCTGTGTCTAAACTTTGTAGATGTGTGTGCCAGAGGCTGGGGCTTGCATGCCCACGTGTGTGGATGTGCCATGTTGTGCCTGTAGGGGTGAGAACACAGCTTTCAGCAGTGGTTGACGTTTCCCCTTGGGGCAGGGTCTTTCTTGCTTGAGCAGCTGCATTGCTTATTCCAGACTAACTGGCCTGTGAGATTCTTGATGATTCTTCGGTCCTGCCCTACCAACTATTCAGAGAAGTGCTGGGATCACAGATGCCGGCTAGGCTACCTCATCTGGCTTTTTTCTTTTCATTTCTTTTTTCTTTTTTGGCTGTTGTTTGTTTTGCTTTGTTTGTTTCTGACAGGGGTTCTAGGAATCAACTTGGGTCATGGAGACTCTATGGCTAGTGCTCTTACCCCCTGAGCATCTCCTGGCCTTGTGTGCACTGAGA